CCTAGCTAACTCTTCAGGGGTTTTTCATTGAATAATGAATCCACATACAGTTCTTGAATGGTTTACTATCATCCTTGCTCAGGCCTCTTTATCTTCCTTTCACTAACTCCATTGGCTTTTCACTTCCATTGGACTTCCAGCGACCCTGAAAACATAATCTAAAAGCCCTGCTATTGGGCCTTTGTACATGCTCTTTCCTTAGTTTGGATCACAGACCTAGAATTTTCTTCCATTAAGTCTTCATGTGTTTGTTTCCTTTCTATCTTTTTGGACTCAATTTAATTGTCCTTTCCTCATATAAGCCTTTCTTGACACCCTCCCAACTCTCTCCCACCCTACTGTTTCTCTGGAGAACCCTGACTAATATAACTTTCTCCAAATGCCAAAACAAAATGAGGTATCCCAGCTATACTCTCTCTCAGAACTTCCTATTTTTCCTTCTGAGGAAGTCTCTGGACCAGGCAGCCACAGCCTCTGTCTTCATCTGCTTTTCCCTTATACCAGGTAGATAGTCTGCCTCCAACTGCTTTTCCCTTCCAGCAGGAGTCTCAAAGTCTTAAAGAAAGAAGGGCTTTCAGGGGACCAGACAGGTTATAAAAGTGAGTGGGTGGAGACAGTGGCAAACTGGAGAGCACATAACAGCTATTCACAATTCTAGCTGTTTGTTGTTTTCCCAAGAGACCAGGAATCCTGATTTTCTTTTTAAAAAAATTCTGTTTATTAATTAATTTTTTTTTCATAGAGACAGAGTCCTTGCTATGTTGGCTGGGCTGATCTTGAACTGCTGGCCTCAAGCAATCCTCCTGACTCATCTTCCCAAATGCTGGAATTACAGGCATGAGCCACTGAACCCAGCCAGAATCCGGATTTTCATGTGAGATCTCATTTCTAACTGTTGGAATTCAAACAAACAACAAAACCTTGAACAGAGTAGCCAAAAACAATCTTGGAAAAAAAAAAAGAATGAAATTCTCATACTTCCTGATTTCAAAAAATATTGCAAAGCTATAGTAATCCAAACAGTGTAGTACTAGCATAAAGACAGACATACAGACTGATGGAATACAATAGAAATCCCAGAAATAAATCCTTGTATAAAATTGATATTCAATAAGTATGTCACTACCATTCAGTGAGGAAAGGGCAGTCTTCAACAATGGTATTGCTAAAATCTGGGTATCCACATGCAAAAAAATTGAAGTTGGAGCCTTATCTGACATAGTACAGAAAATGAACTCAAGGCCAGGCACAGTGGCTTACACCTGTAATGCCAGCACTTGGGAGGCTGAGGCAAGAGGATTGCTTGAGCCCAGGAGTTAAAGATCAGCCTGGGCTACATAGCAAGACCCCCGTCTCTATTAAAAAAAATTAACCAGGCATGGTGGTACATGCCTGTAGTCCTAGCTACTTGGGAGGCTGAGGTGGGAGTATTGTTTGAGTCTAGGTGGTCAAAGCTGCAATAAGCTGTGATTGTACCACTGCCCTCCAGTCTGGGTGACAGAGCAAGACTCTATCTCACGAAAAACCCACCACACCTCAAAATGGATCAAAGATCTAAACATAATACCCAAAACTATAAAACTCTAAGAAGAAAACAGAGAGAAAAAGACTTCATGACAGATTTGGCAATGATTTCTTGGATATAACACCAAAAGACAGGCAGCAAATGTAGAAATAGGTAAATTGGACTACTTCAAAATTAAAAACTTTTGTGTGTCCAGGAATACAGCCAGCAAGCAGAGTGAAAAGGCACCCTTTGAAATAGGAATTTTATATTTGATCAGATATCAATATCCAGAATATATAAAGAACTCCTACAACAAAACAAAAAAAACAACCTGATTAAAAAATGGTTGAAGTACCTGAATAGACATTTCTCCAAATACATACAAATAGATAGGAAGCTTATGAAAAAGATCAACATCACCAATCATTAGGGAAATATAAAGCAAAACCACAGTGAGATACCATCTCATACTCATTAGGATGGCTGCTATCAAAAAGTAACAAGCATTAGCAAGAATATGGAGAAATTGGAACTCTTGTGCACTATTGGGAGAAGTGTAAAATCATCCAGCTGCTATGGAAAACAGTATGATAGTTCCTCAAAATATTAAAAATGGAATTATCATATAAGCCAGCAACTTTACTTCTGTGTATATATTATAAATAATTGAAGAATTTAAAAACTTGTTTCACATTAAAAAAATTTTAATGGCTTTAGAGAAGTGCAAGTGGTTTTTGGTTTCATGGATGAATTACATAGTGGTCAAGTCTGAAATTGTAGTGTACTAATCACCCAAGTTGTGTATATTGTACACAATATGTATTTTTAAAAAGTCTCTCGCCTTCCTCCCCCTCTCCCCACTTCTGAATCTCTGATGTTCATTATACCAGTCTGTATGCCTTTACATACCCAAAACTTAGCTCCCAGTTATGAATGAGAACATGTGGTATTTGGTTTTCTCCTCTTGAGTTACTTCACTTAGAAAAATGGCCTCCTGTTCCATTCAAGTTGCTGCAAAAGACATTGTTTCATTCTTTTTTACAGCCGAGTAGTATTCCATGGTATGTATGTACCACATTTTCTTTATCCGCTCATCAGTTGATGGGCACGTCGGTTGGTTCCATGTCTTTGCAAATGTGAATTGTGAAATCAGGATCTTGAAGAGCTATTTATACACTCATGTTCATAGCAGCATTATTCACAATAGCCCAAAGGTGGAATATCCACAAATGGATGAATGTATAATGTGTGGTGTGTACTTGCAATGGAGTGTTATTCAGCTTTAAAAAGGAACTTTTTACACATGATACAACATGGATGAACCTTGAGGACATTAAATGAAATAAACCAATCACAAAAGGGCAAATACTGTCTTATTTTATTTATACGAGGTATCTACAGTGATCAGACTCATGAAAACTGAAAGTAGAACGGTGGTTGCCAGATATTAGAGGAGAGAAAATAGGGAGCTATTTAATCAATACCGATTTTTTTCTTTCTTTCTTTTTTTTTTTTTTTTTTGAGACAGAGTCTTGCTCTGTCACCCAGGCTGGAGTGCAGTGGAGTAATCTCAGCTCACTGCAGCCTCTGCCTCCCGGGTTCAAGCAATTCTCCTGCCTCAGTCTCCTGAGTAGCTGGGACTACAGGCAAGTGCTGCCACACCAGGCTGGTCTCAAACTCCTGACCTCAGGTGATCCACCCGCCTTGGCCTCCCAAAGTGCTGGGATTACAGGTGTAAGCCACTGCAGCCAGCTGAGTTTCAGTTTTTCAAGGTGAAAAGGTTCTAATCATTAGTTGCATGGCAATATGAAGTTCCTGAAAGCCTTAAGTGCCTTCCATACTTTTAGCTATGCATTGTGCCATGTGATCTTGCTTTTCTGGCCACTAATACACTATAGACATGGACTAGGCCTAACAAGCAGGACATGGAAACTCTGCCCAATTTTACACATTATATGGTGAATGATGTAATTAGAATGATCCGATCCAATCCAACTTTTGGATGCAAGACACACAAAGGCAGGTCGAAGAAGTACCCTTAACCCAGAGGCTAAGGGATGCTTAATTCTGAGGGAACAACAAAACTGGTCAGGTCACCAGAGTTGCTTCTTTTTATCTTGAGCAGTTGCGAACGACATTCCTTAGCCATGAGGCCCGTGTGGCTGCTGAGATGCTGCTTGTGTTTTCCCACTTCCTCATATGACCCTAATATAAACCTGCATCTTCTCTGCTAACAAAAGCAAGCCTCTCTTCTGTGTTTCTTGGAAGATCCTCCCGCCTTCTGTCTTGAAAACTCGGATAGCTCCATCATACCCTTAAGTCTCTGCTTTTCCATGGACGGAAACAATGCTCCACCTTGATGAAGAATGTGACTCCTTAAGTCTCAATGTTGTTAAAGAAAAAATTATTCAATGATACTTTCTAAAGCATGGTAAGGAAGACTTTATTCAGGAACTTCATGATGGGTATATAGAGCTCATTGCAACAGAATTTTCTAGTGGAGGAGAGATTGGGCTCAACTCCGAATAATGGCATGGGCAAGTGGGAATTTATGGCTAAGGAGCTGTGTGGGGGTCAGTGTATGGAAAATTACTAAGAGGAAACATCAAGGATAAAGGAGATTCTGGCTAAACAGACCCAACAGGATTCTTGCTGGAGACAGGCCAAGGTGATCAGATATCACCTGGGGTATAGTGGAGAATAAGGAACCTGATCAGATATTGAGGATAATCACATAAGAGGCAGGGGTGGTGGTGGTTTTTGCTAAACTGACTTAGCAAGGATCTGTGCTAAAACTGGATTTTATAGGGAAGTGCACAGATGGGCCTAGCAGCAAATTCGGAAACCTAATTCAACCAAAGAATCTTTGCCAGTGTGTTGTATTTGAGAAAAATTATAAACTATACTTTCACCCTCGAGATAGGGATTGTTCCTTCTGCCAAAATGCCTTTGAATAATTGCAATATGATTCTTAGGGAACATCCTGGAATTGCTATTAAAAAATCAGTACACGCATCTTATCCCTCCATTCTGCTTTTCTTCTCCCAGGTTGCTCCACAGTTCAGTGTAGACAGCACTACAAAAATCTTAAGTTTCTCCGCCTCTTACCCCTCCATTCTTTGCTCCCCGCACAAGGGAGAAAGCAGATTGTAGTTTAAAAAGCAAGTGGCAGTGCTACAGCAGGTTGCCTGAAGCAGGAGGATGGCTTTAAAGGTTGTGAATGTCTCCTTATGGAGTATCGAGAAGCACAGCCACCTAGAAACGTCCACAGAGGGATTGAGTCCGAAGTGTCACCCAATTCTGACCCTGTGAGGCAGTGTCAGGCGAGTGGCCCTAAGGTAGAGAGATGCTGAGACAGCCGGTCCCCACCGTGGTCACTTTCAGGTACCTAACTTGGACCGCGGCCCCGGGAGAACCCAGTTGGGGCGGACGCTATTTGATTTGGGAACTGGGAGGGGCTATTTCAGCCAATCCGTGGAGGAGAGAGCTGGTCACGTCACCAGCTGTGCTCCAGCCGGTCCCTTGACGTCATCCCTCAGCGCCGGAAGCGATGAGTTACAGCTAGAGTAACGTGATCTTGTACATCTCCGACGTCTGGAGGTAAGGCGGTCGTCAGGTTATCTACTCTGTTCGCTGGTTCGATGCCGCGGGTGTGAGCGTTAGGCCGAGGCTGCTCCTACCCTTGAATGATGTGCCTTGATCTCACGGCTGCATTCTCTGTCCTCCTCTCCTACTCTTTTGGGCTGTTTGAGCGGGCGCTCCCGTTGGTCTTCGACACACTTTGCGTTTGTTCACGTGTGCTCCCGACACCTGTACGTACCTTGGTAGCAACACATGCAGAAAAAGATTAGAGAGTGGGCCTTATCCTACCAAGGAGGCGGCCCAGCTTGTTGGAAAGGACAGCGTTTCCGCCAGTAATGCTTCCTGAAAGGCACTTGAGGGACCTTCGCAGCATCCTCAATGCCTTGTAGGAATGCCAGAAGCAGCAAGCCTTTCTCCATACATACCAGTGATAGTGACTTAACAAAGCAGGGATGAAATTTCTATTTGGGATTACTGTGGTCTATGTTTAGAACTTTTTGGGATTGTTCATATGCAGATTTGGGCTCGTTCTTAGTTACACAGTTATTGCTTTCGAATGATCTTTTTCTATGTCCACAGCCCCTGCTTGCCCTACCTTCACTATGAACAAAAGTGATAATAGTGTTGAATACTTTTTATCAGTCACTGAGCTTTACATACTTTGTCCTTTAGCTCTTGTGACAACCCCATGGTGTCTGCTTTACACTTGAGGGAATGAGGGCTTGGCAAGGTTAAACAACTTGCCTCAAGTCACACATCGAGTAGGTGGTAGAACCAATATTTGAATTCAGGTATTCTAACTTCGGAGGCCTTGATCTTCGCCACTATTCTATATATTTTTTGTCAACTATCCATTAAGCTCCCAGACACCTACTCTTTGTTACCTATTATTTTATGGAGAAAATTAAGGTCATGAGATGTGCTTTCCCACACATTACTGCTTCTGCTTTCCCTTTTAAAGTCATGAATATTTATACCATTTACTTTTCCTTTTGTCTCAGAAGATACATTGTCTCTCTGATCAAAGCAAATTCCTTTATCTATGCTTTTGATATTTTATGCTGTCACTTATGAAACTTTGTTTTCATTTGTCATTTCTGTCTCTCTCTGTCTGTGTTCCAGTCATGTATAAACAAGGTCAGGTTTCTCAGATCTCTGACACTTTCCCCTACCAAAGAAAGAAAAAATCTGATGATCCATCTTAGTGGGTAGTTGTTTTCCTCCTACCCTAAAATGTTGGGTGTTTCTATTGCTTGTGACTTTGGCATAATGAACAGTGAAAAACTGTTCTTTTCATTCTGTACACATTGCCTGAGCAAAGCCATCAGCTGGCTTGTTTTTAACCACCTCCTACATGCTCCCAAATTGAAGTTGTCAGCTTAGACCTCTCTGAGCTTTACCCTCACCTCTGACTATCCTGCTGGACAGCTCTGCCTGCAAGTCCAAGAAACACTTCAAATTCAGATGAATGAAACTGAGCTCATCGTCTTGCCTGGACTTAACTCTTATCACATTCATCACTAAGTCCTTGTAGTTTTACCCGCTAAACATCTCTCAAATCTGTGCAGTCTTCTCCGTCTCTGTTGTCCTTTTACCTGCAATATCATGGCCTTCTAACTGATTTCCCTGCTTCTAGGCCTGTTCCCCCAAACCTGTTCTCCACAATACTCCCCTCCACCCACAGATGGTCTTTGGAAACAAGTCTGTATCAAATTCCTGCTTAATCTTTAAAGATCTATCTGTGCATTCATCCATTCTTTTCTCTAATTCATTCAGCAAACATTTGTTGTCTACTGGCTTGCAAAATCCATTGAAAACTCTAAAGTTAGAGCTTCTCAGCCAGGGCTCTGTTTTATCTGAACCCTGCCTGTATCTCTAGCCTCCTCTCTGCCTCATTCGTTAGGTTCTAGCAACACTGAATGGCATCTTCAGGGGTACTGTGCTATTTCTTTTTTGTATATTTGCCCTTGCTGTTCTCTTTGCTTGGAATCTTCTCCCTGATTCCTTTCTCCACCTCCTGCTCCTCACCTAATTAGTCTGCTCCTTTTCACCTAATTAACCCAGTTTATAAATGGGACTCATTTATAAAGTTTAGGTCCACCTCCTCCAGGAAATTTTTTCCTGACACCTCCTTCCCCCTAGTCTCAGGCACTCCAGCATTGTGCTTCCATCACTTTGTACAGAGTAGTCATCATACTTACCACACCCACTATTAATATAATTGTTTCTGTGTTTCTCTCCTCCACAAGATTTGGGTGTTTTTTTTTTTTTTTTTTTTTTTGACGGAGTCTCGCTCTGTTGCTCAGGTTGGAGTGCAGTGGTGAAATCTTGGCTCATTGCAACCTCTGCTCCCCGGGTTCAAGTGATTCTCCTGCCCCAGCCTCCCGAGGAGCTAGGATTACAGGCGCAGTTTTGGCTCACTGCAGCCTCAACTCCTGGGTTCAAGCAATTCTCCTGCCTCAGCCTCCCGAGTAGCTGGGACTACAGGCATGCACCACAATGCCTGGCTAATTTTTGTATTTTTAGTAAAGACGGGGTTTCACTATGTTGGCCATGCTGGTCTCGAATTCCTAACCTCATGATTCGCCCGACTCGGCCTCCCAAAGTGCTGGGATTACAGGCGTGAGCCACCATGCCCAGCCAAGATTCGGGTTTATTTATTTTATTTTTTTTGTAGATAAGGTCTTGTTGTGTTGCCCAAGCTGGACCTGAACCCCGAGGCTCAAGCAGTCCTTCCACCCCGGCCTCCCAAGTAGCAGGGACTACAGGTATGTGTCACTGTGCTTGGCTAAGACTGAATTTTTTGAAGGCTGGGCTCATATATTATCTCTTTATTCCCAGCTCTAGAATGGTACAAGGTATACAGGAGTGTATTAATTTTGATTGGATGATCAAATGAGTGAAGCCAAAAGTTATATGATGTAGTGGTTAAGAACCCATTATATGGAATTAATTCAAATCGTATCTCTGGCACATATTGGCTATGTGACTTGAACATGTTACTTATCTTCTTATCCTTACTTTTCTCTTGTTAGAATGGGGTTCTGAGTTTTAAAATGAGATCGTGTAAGAAAGACATTTAGCATGGTACCTAGCACATAGTAGGCACTTGATAAAGGTACGCTGAAAACCAGGGGATCCTGGAGTAAAGACAAGGCCTAGGACAGTGATCTCCAGAAACCCTCCTCAGTGTTTTATGAATGGGTAGGCGGTGATGCAGTCCGTTACCAGGGAGATTATAATCTTGTTTTGAGAGTAGAATTATATTCACATTAAACATTCAGAGAACTGTGAAGGTAGTTTGACCACATCCAATAATAAGATGTAGGGAAGAGAAGACAGCTCAATGAAGGCCTCAGGGAGGAGGTGAGGCTTGAAAATTAAATAGGACTTGGGTTTTAGATGAAAGGAAAGAATATAAACCAATGCCAGGAGACCATATTAAGAATGACTTTGGCTGGGCATGGCTCACACCTGTAATCCCTGCACTTTGGAAGGTCCAGATAGGAGGATTGCTTGTGGCCAGGAGTTTTAGACCAGCCTAGGCAACATAGTGAGACCCCATCTCTATAAAAAATAAATTAGGAAGTCATGGTGGTGTGTGTCTGTAGTTACAGCTAAGGAAGTTGAGGCTGCAGTGAGCTGTAAGGATGCCCTGCACCCAGCCTGGGCAACAGAATGAGCCCCTGTCTCAGAAAAAAAAAAAGAATAAAAAAAGAATGGTTTATTTGGGAGACATTGTTCATTATGTTATACCTGAAGGATATACAGGTATACTTCAGACGCATTATGGGCTTGGTTCTAGACAACTGCAATAAAGTGAGTCACATGAATGTTTTGTTTTTTTATTGCATATAAAAGTTATGTTTAGACTATACTGTAGTGTGTTAAGTGTGTAGTAGCATTATGTTTGAACAATGTACATACCTTAATTAAAAATACTTTGCTAAAAATGCTAACAATCACCTGAGCCTTCGGTGAGTTGTGATCTTGCTGATTGGGGGTGGATCTTGCCTTGTTGGTGGCTGCTGACTGATCAGGGTCATCATTGCTGAAGGTTTAGATATCTGTGGTCATCTTAAAATAAGACAATAAAGTTTGCTGCATTGATCGATTTTCACAAAAGATTTTTCTGTAGCAAGTGATGCTGTTTAATAGCATTTATTTTGTTTCTTTTTATTTCATGTATTTTCTGAGCCCAGTTTATGGATATTTTATAGCATTTTACCCACAGTATAACTTCTTTCAAAATTGGAATCAGTCCTCTCAAACCCTGCCGCTACTTTATCAGCTAAATTTATGTCCTTTGTTGACTTTTTTGTTTTTTTTGAGAGGCAGAGTTGCTCTCTGTCATTCAGGCTGGAGTACAGTGGCACAATCTTGGCTCATGGCAACCTCCGCCTCCTGGGTTCAAGTGATTCTTGTGCCTCAGACTCCTGAGTAGCTAGGATTACAGGTGCATGCCACCATGCCTGGCTAATTTTTGTATTTTTAGTAGAGACAGGGTTTCATCATGTTGGCCATGCTGGTCTTGAACTCCTGACCTCAAGTGATCTGCCCACCTTGGCCTCCCAGAGTGTTGGGATTAGAGGCATGAGCCACCACACCCATTGGCATTTCAGTAATGTTTACTACATCTTCACCAGGAAATTTCAACTCAAGAAACTATTTTCTTTGCACATCCGTAAGAAGCAACTCCTCATCCATTAAAGTTTGATCATGAGATTGCAGCCTTTCAGTCACATCTACAGGCTCTACTTCTAATTCTAGTTCTCTTTATTTCTGCTACACTGGCAGTGACTTCCTTCACTGAAGTCTTGAAGCCCTCAAAGTAACCCATAAGGGTTGGAATCAACTTCTTCCAAACTCCTGTTTATGTTCATATTTTGACCTCCCATAAATCACAGATGTTCTTAAGGGCATCTAGAATGGTTGAATCCTTTTCAGAAGGTTTTCAATTTACTTTTCCCAGGTCCATCAGAGTAATCATGGTCTATAGTAGCTATAGCCTTATGAAATGTATTTCTTTTTTTTTTCTTTTCTTTTTTTTTTTTTTTTTAAAGATGGGATTTCACCATGATGGCCAGGCTGGTCTTGAACTCCTGATATCAGGTGATCCACCCACCTTAGCCTCCCAAAGTGCTAGGATTACAGGCGTGAGCCACCGCGCCCGGCTGAAATGTATTTCTTAACTGATAAGACTTGAAAGTCAAAATTACTTCTTAATCCATGGGTTGCAGACTGGATGTTGTTTTATCAGGCATGAAGACAATATTTATCTCCTTGTATAATACATCTCCATCAGGGATCTTGGGTGTGTTGTCAGTGAGCAGTAATATTTTGAAAGGAATCTTTATGAGCAGTAGTGCTTAACAGAGATCTTAAAATATTCAGTCAGTCATGCTGTAAACAGATGTGCTGTCATCTAGGCTTTGTTGTTCCATTTATAGAGCACGGGAAGAATGGACTGAGTATAATTCTTAAGGGCCTTAGGATTTCCAAAATGGCAAATGAGCATTGGCTTCAGATTAAAGTCTCCAGCTGCATTACTCCCTAATAAGACAGTCAGCCTGTCCTTTGAAGCTTTGAAGTCAGGCATTGACTTCTCTCTACCTGTGAAAGTGCTAGAAGGCATTTTCTTCCAGTAGCATGAAAGATCACTGATTACAGATGATAACAGATAATAATGAAAACCTTTGAAATTTTGTGAGAATTACTAAAATTTGACACAAAGACATGAAGTGAGCACTTGCTATTGGAAATATGGCACCAACAGACTTGCTTGACACAGATTTGCCACAAACTGTCAATTTGTAAAAAAAAAAAAAAAAAAAAGCAGTATCTGCAAAATGTAATTGGACAGAGCACAAAGCAGCTATGCCAGTATATATGTGTTTCTAGAGGAAAAGAGGAGAGACAGGGATGGGCAAGTGGGACTAGTTCTGTGAAGAGGAATGGGAGGCGAAATTCGTAACCACTGTGGGATTATGACATGATGAGTTTAACTTCAGGCCTGAGGGACTTGAGATGGAACAGGGTTGGGCAGGTTTCCAGGACTGTGGTTGATATTGTGGTACCCCCTAACCACATGGAGTTATTTAACTTTAAGTTACATTTTTAAAATTTAAGTAAAAAATGTAGTTCTGTTGTACTAGGTACATTTTAGATGCTTGATTGTCATGTAGTGGGTAGTTTATTGGACAGCTCAGGTTTAGAACATTTCCATCATTGCAGAAAATTCTACTGGACAGCACTATTTGAGGTTACCTGATTTCTGGCCTTGTGTGGTCTATCAGATCACTTGAGTTTTTTAAGGAATAGTCAGAATTTCTAACTAATCCCCTCAACTCTAGAATGAAAGATAGAGAGCTGGACTGGGCATGGTGTCTCATGCCTGTAATCCCAGCACTTTGGGAGGCTGAGGCGGGTGGATTACCTGAGATCAGGAGTTCCAGAACAGCGTGGCAACATGGTGAAACCCCATCTCTACTAAAAATACAAAAAGTAGCCAGGCGTAGTAGTCCATGCCTGTAACCCCAGCTGCTGGGGAGTCTGAGGCAGGAGAATCGCTTGAACCTGTGAGGCGGAGTTTGCAGTGAGTCGAGATCGCACTACTGCACTCCAGCCTGGACAACAGAGCAAAACTCCATCTCAGAAAAAAAAAAGAAAAAAAAGGTTTTGGGTTGAAAAATAGAGAATTGGGATCCATCTAGATGTGAGAATGGATGGGATTGCCCAAAGAGAGGAACAGAGCATTCCATCCTAAGAAGAGCCATAGAAGGAAGGGAGAGAGAAGGAAGGAAGGAAAGAAAACTGGGATAACTCTATTGTTACTCTCGTGTAAAGAGTAAATATCATTTGATCATTCACTCGTAAATATTTATGGCATACTTGCTGTATGCCAAGTATTAGATTAGGTGCCAGGGATATATTGATAAGCAAAAATGGGCGTGACCTCTACTGTCATAGAGGCTTCAGTTCATGGAGTCTCACTGGAGGGACTGGATTGAAGATTCAGGAAGTCTCAGCCTTCTGGCACTTGCCATATTCCAAAACACTCCATTCCTAGAAGTTGGAATTGGAGGCTGAAATGGGCGAAGATATTATTTAAGGTTAGTTACATAACCATTGTGCAGTCACTGCTTCAGCTTCTCAGGAAGTAGTAAATAGGAACACCGTAACTTGAGAACTTTGGGGAATAAAGTATGTGTATTGGCGGAGGGCAGGAAGGGTAGTTCCTGTTATCCTGCACCTGTCAGACATGCTCTCTATTGCCCATTGGATTCCTTCCTGTCCCTTCTCTCAAAATCTGTTCTCTTCCGGCTTTTCTTACTGTCAGTGTGAGTAGTCAGTCACCACATGACATATTTCCCAATGCCTAGTGAAGACATACTTCACTTCTTAGCCTGTTACCTACTCATTTATCAGTTTCCAGCAAGTGCAAACAGATGCCCCTTGGAACGCATAGCATTTAAAAGTGGGACCTGCCAGTAGCACCATCAACATTTGAGGCTCCAGGTTTAGGATTTTAGATTTATAGCTGACTCTTGATGCACTTGTATCACCTCCTTCACAGAGACTTGCTGAACTGCCTTTTTGACCTCTCTGGCCCACATTATATTAACAGCCTCCTCACTAATCTCTGACTCTAGATTTCTCCATGCTAGACTGCCTACACAAAGCTGTTAAGTGTTCTTTGAATTCTGTTGTTTTATCTCACTGTGAAGCTCAAAACTTAGCAGTTGTCTCCTCTTGATTATGTTAAATCTAGACTTTTCAGCCTAGTATTCTTTCAACACCTCTGTCTTTTTCTTGTGACTCTCTGAGGCAGCTTCTCTGGTTCAGCCAACTAAGTCTGCTTTTTACCCTGACCTACGGCTTGCCGTTGCTGAAATCTGTGCTGTCACTTGTGCTTTTTAAAATGGAATGGCCCCTCCCACTCTATTTCTTTTTTATCAGTCCCCTTGGCTCCTAGCCGTCTCTAAACCAGGAGGTTTCTGGAAGCCTGTACTGGCTAATACAGGAGTTTTTACCTCTTTATACTCACACTAATCTAATTTGAATTTGCATCTCCTCACGTGTCATTTGCTCACTTTGCCTTGCATTATCTTGTCTTTGCAGATGGTTAATAAAACTGATTTTTAAAAATTGGGTTTCTTTTTTCATTGCCTATGGACACAAAACTTGTGCAAAGGGCGTAAGTACTGCCTTGACTGTAGGCAGCGTTTCCAGGAGAGGGTTGTTAGAGGCTTAAGCACTGATAAAGTCTGGAGTCTAGAGAGGCATCCGAAAGAGCTAGTTCTCTCTGCCCATAATTCCCTATTTCACCTCATTGGGTGATCTCATCCACTCTTTTGCCTCAGCCTTTATGACATGTTGATGACTCTCACATATATGCATTTAATCCATTCCCCTCTCCTGAGCTTCATACCCATATATCACAGCTTGACTCTTGGATCTTCCACAGGCAACTTAAACTAATTACATTTCAATATGATGTTGGTCCTTCTTCACCTTCCTTTTCATCCCCAAATTATGTCTCCTTGTGTATTTTTCATCCTGGTTAATGGGCATCTTCCAAATTAGAAGTCTTTGGTCAGTGTCTCCTTTTATTCCTTTGTCATTCCCCAAATGTCATCAGTGATTAAGTATATCTTCCAGATCGCTCCTGGCTTTTCTTGCCCTCCATCCCCTTTGCTTTGGCCGTTGTTGAGGCTTCATCTCTCTTCTGAATTTCTTGTCTCTTTCTCTTTTACTGATAGTCTACATGGCCATAGGGTTGTTTTTCAAAAGAACATCAGTACTTCCATTATTTTGCAGGTTGTGTATTGCACAAAATTGCCATGTTCACACTTTAGAAATTGTAGATTTGCATATTTATTATGACTGTCTCCTGGCAGATGGGAGTAAAATATATTCTAACATCAGTATGTTATGACAATTAAGGAAGGAAAACCTAAGACACATAAAGACACCTAAGCATTAGAGAACATCTTTTTTATGTCCTTAGTTCTCTGGCAGGCAAACTCCTTCTCATCCTTTAAAACCCCACATAAATATCCCTTCCTCGTGAAACCTTATAAAATATTCTCCACAAGTTAGTCAGTCCTTTTACTGGGCTAATGCCATATTTTTAGGTTACTCTCTTCTTGTAGTGTTTATCACATTACATTGTAAATATTGATATATGAATCTGTCTGTCCTATTGCACTCCAAGCTCCTCAACGACTGGGACAATGTCTGTTTTATTCACCCTTTGACTTTCAATATGTAGTCTAAAGTCCAGCACATATCAATAAATGTGTAACAGGCCAGGTGTGATGGCTCATGCTTGTAATCCTTGCACTTTGGGAGGCCAAGGCAGGTGGATCACTGGAGGTCAGAAGTTTGAGACCATCCTGGCCAACATGGTGACACCCCATCTCCACTAAAAATACAAAAATTATCCAGGCGTGGTGGTGGGCACCTGTAATCCCAGCCTCTCGGGAAGCTGAGGCAGGAGAATCACTCGAACCTGGGAGGCGGTGGTTGTAGTGAGCCGAGATTGTGCCACTGCCCTCTAGCCTGGGGGACAGATTGAGACTCTGTCTCAAAAAAAAAAATTTAAAAATACGTGTAACAAATATTTGATTGCTTAGCATGATTTAGGCAGGGAGGTAAATACTTACCCACATTATCTCATTTAATCTTCACAACAGCCTCCTGAGTCCCGTCATTACCATAGTTTGTCGGTGAGGAAATTGAGACCAGGGTGGTGAAGTCACTTGCCTTAAGACAAACAGCTGGTAAATCACATGTGTGGTAGCACCGGATGTGGCCATGGAGGACTCGTGCTAGTGGATCTATTTTTTTAGTGATTCTCTTGTTTTGTCCCTCAGAATGGTGATGCGGGTGTGCTGGTTGGTGAGACAGGACAGCCAGCACCATCGAATCAGACTTCCACATTTGGAAGCAGTTGTGATTGGGCGTGGTCCAGAGACCAAGATCACTGATAAGAAATGTTCTCGACAGCAAGGTAACTGGTCATAGAAATGTGGAGATTCATATTATATGGGATAGTGATAACCAAAGATGCATATTTTCTGGGTGCTTTTCATGGAAAATCTATCGTCTGCCAAAAATACAGCTCTGGAACTGAGCTCTTTGAGCCAACACCAAGGCCCTATTTATTCCTGATTCTGCCCTCCCAATGTGGTAATGTTCAAGGAAGGGCGGGTGAAGGTTGGGAGCAGGCAAGTTCATCCTGTTACCATGGGATGGTGGAATTGAGTCCTACCCTGCTTTCCCCAGGGACATTGCTCAATGGGCAGCAAGATGTAAAGTCTGGAGTCTACAGGTGAAACCATGTCTCTCTGAGAAGTGATAGGGTAGTGCCATCCTTTACATATTGCCTCACGCAGAGAGTAACATCTTTATGAGACGATGGCATCTAGCACTTGTCTTAGGGTTTAATAACGTGAAAGTCCTTGCCCTCAGAAAAAAACCTTATCATGTACCTTATTTTTCCTGTAAACATGCTCACTGCTGCCTGGAGTGTGATCCTCCTCAGCAAAGTTTCCCTGCATCGGTAGCACTGATTATGATATTTCCTATATAAGGTAATCTAAGTGGAGGGATAAAAAGCCATGCTTGAGCTGGGTAGGCCCAAGATAAAGAGGCAGCAGCTGCTTCTCTCTCTGTTCCCTTCCTCACAATAGCAACTGAAGGGTCATGTGTGTGTGGGGCACCCTGTCCTCTCTGGTGAACAGCTATAGTATCTCTTCTTTTCTGCCCATCTCAACTGCAGATACCTGTTCATTTATCAGAACAGGAATGCTTAATGTTACCACTTCTCACACATGCTCAGATTGTTCTGCCTCTACAATCATCTTTCTAGAACATTCTTTCCACTCCTTCCACCCAAAACCAGCTGAAGTTTTGTTTTCCAGGAATGTGTATTTTACTGCTTTTTCTTTTAAAGGCATCTAATAGTTGTCATTGTTATTTTTCCAAAATAACCGTGGAAGCCTGATTTAATCCTTGGCCACAAGCTTGTGTGAGAAATGGGTCTTTTTTTTGTTTTTTCCTGAGACAGGGTCTCACTCTGTTGCCCAGGCTGGAGTGTGGTGGTGTGATCTTGACTCATTGCAACCTCTGCCTCCCAGGGCTTAAGTGATCCTCCCACCTCAGCCTTCCAAGTAGCTGGGACTACAGGTGTGTGGCACCACACCTAACTAATTTTTGTATTTTTTGTAGAGATGGGGTTTCACCATTGTTTTCCTTCATTGTTTTCCTTAGGGAAAATGGGAACAAGTGCCTGGTTCTTTGTTACATTTGTGTTTAACTTTTTCCAATCTCTTTCAGTACAGTTGAAAGCAGAGTGTAACAAGGGATATGTCAAGGTAAAGCAGGTAGGTGTATTTATAACTTGGATTTTCATTTTATACTTGATAATTTTCTTATACTGTTAACTTTAGAGTGTCTGTGCCAGCCAGTGAAGGCTTCTTTGTCATGTTTGGAAGTGATGGAGAAATATAGGTGAACATTAGGCAAGATGCCTGGCATATAGTAAGTGGTTAACATAGCAGTGGCTATCTTACTACTGGTCCTATTGCTATTATTATAATCATTTTCTGATTGTTTATTCCACAGGTAGGAGTCAATCCCACCAGCATTGACTCAGTCATAATTGGGAAGGACCAAGAGGTGAAGCTGCAGCCTGGACAGGTTCTCCACATGGTGAATGAACTTTATCCATATATTGTAGAGTTTGAGGAAGAGGCAAAGAACCCTGGTCTGGAAACACACAGAAAGAGAAAGAGATCAGGCAGCAGTGATTCTATGGGAAGGGATGCTGCCCAGGAAGCTGAGCCTAGTACAAGGATGGATCCTGGGAGCAACCCTAGCCAATGCTCGGTGCCCCCAAAGAAGGGAAAAGATTTACCTGTCAAAAAGGTGAGGGTAGTGTGATTGGTAGATGATGTGGAGATGAAATGAAATATAATGACTGCTTAATTGTTTTGTATACTGTAAAGTTCAGAAATGCGGGAGGGGTTATTAACCATGATGAAAGAGTCACTTGTTTGTTGTTTGGATGAATTTTCCTTTATGTTCTTTTCTCTTAAATTCCTGAGGTAAGCCACTTGAAGATAGAGCAATAATGGCAGTGTGTACTTAACACTGACCAACTAAAATGGGTCAGTTGTTTGTGCATCTATAGAAGGTTTTCATAGATCATGTAATTCATATGCTGATGTCAAAGTGGAAAATTGGTCAGGCTGTAGTTGGAGTGAGAGAGGGCAAAGAAGGTATGACCCATACTCTGGCATTTCTGGCCTTCATCTAGAAAGCCAGCTGTAAATACAGGAAGGCTGGCTGGGTGCGGTGGTTCATACCTGTAATCCCAGTGCTTTGGGAGGCTGAGATGGGTGGATCACCTGAGGTCAGGAGTTTGAGACCAGCCTGGCCAACATGGTGAAATCCCATCTCTACTAAAAATAAAAAAATTAGCTTGGGGCCAGGCGCGGTGGCTGAAGCCTATAATCCCAGCACTTTGGGAGGCCGAGGCGGGTGGATCACGAGGTCAAGAGATCGAGACC